CTGGGAACCTGCAGATCCTCTCAAGTGACTGCTACCATCAGTGCTCCCTTAAACACTCAAGGTTTGTGTTCCCATCTTGCCTGTGGCCTCTGACAATTACATCTACCTTCTTGAAAGCTCAGTCATATATATTTTAATAACAGCTTTATTGAGATGTGTTCACATACCATAAAGAAAAACCCTTTAACATGTACAGTATTATACAACCAAGCTCAGTCATGTTTGAAAATTTTTCAAAATATTTTGTTTTTATAGTAGGAGGAATATTTTAAGGGATATTTAGTCCGCCTTATTCCAGAAACAAAATTTAGTTTAATATATTCTTCAAGCTTAGGAGGAGCAATCAAGACTTATTTTGTATTCCCCCCCCGCCCCGGCCCCCCATGGTAGTTTTCAAATATAACCCACTTTAGTCCCAAGAAGCTGCATCACAATCTCCTGGGGCTTTGTTTAAAAAATTGGATTCCTCTGATGTCACCTCAAACCTACAGAATTAGAATTACCCTCTAGGTGTGAGGTTAGGAATCTGAAGTTTTAAAGCCCCTCAGATGATTCATGTCCTCAACCGGGTTTATGAACCAGTACATGCCTATATTTGGAGTAGTGTAGGGTCCTCAATGTGTATGTACTCAGATCATCAAGGGTATTGTTTCCTTCAAACAAGAAGGCTATTTTAATACTAGTTTACATGTCATTTTCTGGGCATACTTCCACATTATCTGTATAGTTTTGTTAAATGAAGTATTTTTCAGATCCATTTTCCATATAGTCTTTGTTATGTATTTCCTGAGACCCTGAGTGATGGGCAAGAAAGCATCTTTTTTAGCACATCATCCCTTTGAACAAAATCTGAGCATCTGCTGGCCCCTCAGTGACACATGAAGTGTGATTTTGGCTATTGAAGCCCATAGTCCAGAAGCCTGTGGTGCTGGCCCTCTGCAGGCCGCAGCTGCCCAGCTTTCCTGGCCATCCCTGCTCTGTGCAGTTTTCTGCCTCATTCATCACGCCAGCACTATCATAGGAGGTGATTGGTCACACATTATATTTAGCAGCAAACCTCTCTCTGACTTGCAGTGTGCAAATGTTATTCATCAGATGCTGGGCCAGCAGCTGTTGCCCTTTTGGAGGCCCCAGCCCTGATTTCACTTGGCTGAAGATGTCTGGATGTGAAGGATTAGAATAGAATCTTGAGTTACCACACTACAGAAGCCAACCTAATCCAATGTTCAGTTGTACATTGCGCGCTCTGTGAAACCCACGAGGAAATGGAGCCCATTTTCATTAGGCCAGTAGACCCTGATCCTGCTTTTTTAAAGTTTAAATTTGAGGTAATTGGTTATAATGCCTGTCATCTCAACACAAGGGCCTCTATTATGAAGGGATTATAAAGATTTGGTATCATGGGAGTGTTGTTTAATATCATTCTGTGAGCAGGTAGATTTAACAATATTAGTTTGCCTTAGTGTGAAGAGGTTTTAGGGATATCCTTATGTATGTGTGTAGGGGGGTCTCTATACCATTCTTGAGTCACCTGGTGTCGATCCTTTCAAGACAGTTGTGAGAAAAGCTAATTACTTTTACATCATATTAGGTTTAGGGGATTTGCAAAGTTGCTTTCCCCAGCAGCTATTGAATCATTGAGACCATTACCTCCAGGAAAGAACAGAGGAAAAATTGGTTAAATGCACTGCATTAGGTCTTCAACAAATACTTGTCAGTTGTTTACCTCTGTCTCCTTATTACTTGATACTGATTTCTTCCACTAGGGAGTAAAAAAATAAATAAATAAATAAAAATAAAAAATAAAAAATACCCTTGGAAATCCAGTTATTTTTTCTCCTTTCCTCTCTCCTTTCCATTCTTTTCTCCCTCCTTCCCTCTGTCACTCCCTTCCTTTTACCCATTTCTTTAGGTATTTATTGAGTACCTTTTATGGAAATGTTCTAGAGACTAAGAATTTGTCATGAGTTAAAGCCTTGCCTTCGTGGATTTTACTTATAAATGTAAAAAAGAGGAAAAATAAATAGATAAAAACACAGACCAGCTATGTAGGCATTTGCAAGTCATAGGAAATATTTTGGATTTTATTCTAAGTGTGATAGAATGCTGTTGGTTGAGGGAAGAGAATGACAGTATGTGATTTATCTTTTAAAAGGCTGTGTAGAGATTAATTTGTAAGTGTGGAGGTTAAGGTGAGTAGTTGGGAGGTGAGAGATATTGGTGGCTTAGCAGTGGTAGTGGTAAGAAATATATCCTATCTAATAATAGACAAACATAGTAATTAACCGTACCTCCGACACGCTTCCCATTGGCTAATCAGGGCGATATGCAAATTAACTGCCAACCAAGATGGCAGCCGGCAGCCAGGCAGCTGAAGCGAACAGGAGGCTTGCCTGCTCCAGTGATGGAGGAAGCCAAGGTTCCCCGCCTGCCGCTGCCGGCCTCTGAGCTGCACTCTAAGAAACAATGTTGCAATTAATAGAAGCTAAACAAACCCCAGAAACCTGCTTTCAGCCAGCCGGGCCTCAGAGCTAGAGCTGCAACAGTGTTTCAATTATAGAAGCCAAACAAACCCAGATACCTGCTTTCAGCAGCTGAGGTCTCAGAGCTGGAGCCGAGCCTCAGAGCTAAAGCCGGCTCTCAGTTCCAGTTCCAGTGACAGCCATAGAAGGTAAATAAATCCCAGAATGAAAAAGAAAAAAAGGAGAGGTAGGGAGCTTCCGTCACCCGCCAGCCTGAAAACGGCCCTCAGTCCCTCACCCAGACTGGCCAGGCACCCCAGTGGGGACCCCCACCCCGAAGGGAGTGTGATCAGCTGCAAACAGCCATCATCCCCTCATCCAGGCTGGCCAGGCACCCAAGCGGGACCCCCACCCTGATCCGGGACACCCTTTAGGGCAAACCAGCCGGCCCCCACCCGTGCACCAGGCCTCTATCCTATATAGTAAAAGGGTAATATGCAAACTGACCCTAACAGCAGAAGGACTGGGAATGACTGGTCACTATGACACACACTGACCACCAGGGGGCAGATGCTCAATGCAGGAGCTGCCCTCTGGTGGTCAGGGTGCTCTCACATGGGGAGCTCTGCTCAGCCACAAGCCAGGCTGATGGCTGCCAGTACAGCGGTGGTGGTGGGAGCCTCTCCTGCCTCCTCAGCAGCACTAAGGATGTCCGACTGCGGTTTAGGCCTGCTCCCCACTGGCAAGTGGACATCCCCCCGAGGGCTGCCGGGCTGCCAGAGGGATGTCTGATTGCCATCTTAGGCCCAATCCCCCAGGGAGCGGGCCTAAGCCAGCAGGTGGTCATCTCCTGAGGGGTCCCAGACTGCGAGAGGGCACAGGCCGGGCTGAGGGACCCTCCTTCCCCCCCGAGTGCACAAATTTTTGTGCACCGGGCCTCTAGTATATTTATATTTCAAAAATCTAGAACCTATAAGAGTTGCTGACAGTTGGTTAAAACAGTGAGGTCAAGAATGACACCTAGATTTTTGGCCTGAGAAAGCCAGTGAATGTAGTGGTCATTTACTGAGATGGGAAAGACTTGGGGGGAAAGCAGGTTTGGAGTGGAAGGCTGCAGAATAAAGAGGACATGTAATGTTTAGATACCTATTAAACACTCAAATGGAGATTTCACCTTTGCAGTTGGAAATACAAGTCTGGAGTTACAGGCAGGAATCAGGTAAACATACAAGTGTGGAGTCAGTAATCTGTAGATGATGATTAAGGCTGTCAGAGAGAGTGTGGTGAAGAGAAGAGTCTACTGTTTAGACATTTAGGAGTCAAGAAGAGGCAGAGAACCTGCAAAGGAACCCAAGAGAGAGAGAGAAAAGAGTATTTTCATGAAGGTCAACTATATTAAATGCTCATGAGCTGTCAGGTAAGAAGATGAGAATGAAGAATTAACCACTGGGTTTAACTATGTGGAGGTTGTCATTGGTGTTAGTGGAATGATGGAAACCAAAATCTGATTTGAGAGAGATCAAGTGAGAGTAGAATTAAGGAAGTAGTCACAGTTGTACCAGGTATGACTCTTTTCAGTTGTCTTGCTGCTGAGAGGAGCAGAGCAAACAAGTAGCAGGAAGGAGAGATGAGGGAGATGTGTGGATTTTTTTTGTTTGGTTGTTTAATAAAGTTTGCCCTTTGTAAAAAAAAAGGGGGGGGTGCAGAGTAAATAGGCACAGATGCTGATAGCCTGGTGACTTGATGGTAGGAGGATGAGGTTCTCTTTTGATTGCTTCTGTTTTATACTCAGAAAAATAAGACCCATACTATACATATGAGAAGACATGAAATAATGAATTTGGAGATTTATGTTGCCTAGGATTTCAGATATTTTTAGACTCTGAAATAACAGTGTAATCTCAGGAATACCAAGTAGCCATGTGGATGTTCTACTAAAAGAAACTGGAATAGGAGTAATTCAGGCTGAAAATCATTAAGTATAGCCAGGGTGCCTTCTCTGATTTGTTCAGGGAATGTATAAAAGTTATTTGATAAATTCCAATTTAAAAAATTGTAATAGCTAATATATTTACCTGGTTCAAAATGCAAAAGGAATAAATGTAAACAGTGAAGAGTCTTCTTCCCTTGGCCCCTTACCATCTAATTCCTTTCCCTGGAGTTTGTCAATAATAATACTTTCCTGTGCCTCCTTTCAGAGCAACTTTATTGATGCATTTTAAAAAAACTAAATATATGCCATCATTTTAAAAATAACCCTACTGCAATTACATAAATCATTTTTTTTTTTAATTTTGGAGGGAGGGGGAGAGGGAGGGGAGAGGAGGGAAGAGCGTGTCCTTTGTGTCTACATAAATCATTTTTAAATATTTCTAATATTTGTTATCCTCTTTAATTTCTAAAAATAGCAAGAAAGTGCATCTGTTTTAATCTTGGTTTCATAACGATGGCAGCCATGAGGCGGGAGTTGTATCTGTTAGGTTTTCCATAAGAAATATGTATATTTAACAGGTTCTTTTTTCTTCTTTGTCTTCACAGCTGATCTGGCATCTTTAATGGATAAAACATACGAGAAAAAGTTGCCTGTTAGTTCTTTAACAATATCACGGGTAAGAAAACTGAAATATATATATTTTCAAAGAAGAAAGTAGAAGAAATCAAGAAAGGCTTTTTATATGGATGAGGCTGTGTAAATAAAGAAGATCTTTCATAGGAAAAATTTTTCAGAGTATGGTATGTTTTTATGGTTACTAATAGATATTTTATGGTGAAGTAGCAAATTTCTTTGACTGAAATAAAAGCTAATAAATGTATCAGGCTCTGATGTTAGTGGTCATTGTTATGTATCTGATTTATTTTATTTTTCCAGGATATGGTATTCTGTTGTATAATATCATGATTTTTTTTTAGTTGATACACCCATCAGAGGAATAGTATTTACTTGTTAGTATTGGAAATATTTTTGGTAGCTGAGAAAGTCTGTAAAAGAATGTATATTAATGTTCATGTTAAACTGCTGCAGAGCAGTAGAGGAGAGAATAATATTAGGCTAGGAACCAGGAATAGTAATTGATAGTAACCATTACTGAACACTTTCTATGCCATCTATTGTACTAGTTTCTTCACATATATTATCTTATATATTAATTCTTACAGTGGCCATAAGAAAGAAGCATTATTATCTCCATTTTACATGCAAGACTCAAGTTGATAAATCTCTCAAGTTCACACAGGTCATAAGTGGAAAAATTGGGCTTCAAACCCAGTTCTCTGTGACACCAAAGTTCTTTTCCTTCAAATAATAACTGATTTTGTCTTTATCGTGAATTACCTTTGTGACTTTGGGCAATTGGACCCCTCTCGTTTTCCTCATTTCCAATCTGAGGACAATAGTATTTTCCTTGCGGGGCTGATGTGATGCTAAAATGAGCTTTTAGTTGTGAAAGCTCTTTGTAGAAATTAATAGCACCATAAAATTCAAGGTTACTGTTAAATCGAGAAGAGGAAAAAGAAAGAAACTATCATTATTTTTAGTCTGGTTTCTTTCTTTTTGTCTCTTGATATTCTCCTTTTAGTAGGGGAAGAGTTTAACTAGGTCATAACAAATTTTATAGACTCATAATGTTCAGATTGAAGGGTAACAGAGAGGTCATTGGTTCATGAAGGATAAAATCTCTGTTGCCATAATACCTGGTATTTGTTTAGGCAGCACTGCAGAATTTTAAAAACTTTCGCATACATTTTCTTATTGGAGCTGCAGACCATTGGAAGCAGGTGCCTTCATTCTATTTATGCAGATGGAGCACCTGAGTTCCAGAGGGGCTGTGCCATCTGTTTATGCCATACAGCAAGCAGTCAGGAGAGCTAGCTCTCAACTGCAGTCCTGTGTTTGCACCAGTTTATCTGCCCCTTAATGAGATTCCTAAATCAAATCCATAAGTCAGAGGCATTTTGAGAAACTCTCCCCCTTCTTATTTTCCTCTCCCTCATTCTGAGGTTTTAATTATATTCACAACATGTCTTCTACTCCATCTCTTTTGCCTCTGAGTCTCTACTTTAGAATCTATCCTTGGAATAGCTCTTTCTGTTTCCTTATTTAGTTTAGAATTAAGGAACATACTCATAGATTTTTATGGTTCAAAAGGAGACTTTGTTGGTTGGCTGTTCCATAGCAGAACTTAAGTCAGAGTAAGAAAAATGGTTCCAAGATTGAGTTCTCTAAATTTAGATTTTCATCACTTGAGCATATTTTTTTAGCCATTAGAGTCTTTAACCTTTCAGATATGTGTTCCCATGTATTTGGTGCTTAGAACATAGAAAATATTAGAGTTTAAAGATAAAGGGGACTATCAATGACTAATTATAAATTAGTATAGTATAGTATAGTATAGTATAGTATAGTATAGTATAGTATAGTATAGTATAGTATAAAGAGGAGTGGTCTCTTGTTCTGAGCAAGGTTCATGTTTGATTTCCAGTTTTTCTGATCAAGGTAGTTCTATACAAAGAAAAAGAGAAGACATGGTGTATTTTTTTATTGCATTAGCACAGAAGGGTTTCAATAAAATGAATGTTTTATCTTTTTTAAGGTCGGTATGTGAATTAAGCCCAATATATGGCATAATTTGTATTCATTCAAAGGTTTCTATTTTTGTCTTAGTTTGTGGACAACATTTCATCTCGAGAAGAGATAGATCATGCAGAATATTACCTTTACAAGTAAGTTTTCCATTTCATTGGGCTCTATACTTTCCTATTTCACACCTCTTTTTGACACAAAAGGTGGTATGTATTATATATACTGTTCAACACCTTGCTGTTTATATTTCTGTTTTGGAGATCTTTTCCTATCAGTATATAGAGAGCTTTTTCATTTTTTATATCTGTATGATATTCCATACTATGATTATATCATTTAAACCACTTCCCTATTGATGGATCTTTAGATTGAGCACTCTCTCTCTTTTTATATTATATATAATGTAAAAATAACCTTATACATATGCAATTTTGCACATAATTCTCATACGTGTTTACATTTGTAATTTCAATAGCTGTTTCCAAATTGTTTCCTTTGAAGGTTTTATCAGTTTACATTCTTACCAGCAGTGTATGAGAGAGGCCTGTTTTACAACTTGGCCAATAGGAGTATTTTCACACTTTGGGATTTTTTTTCTTAATCTGAGAGATGAAAAATTATATATTTATCTCTTCTCTTTTTTTATTCACTGCAAAATATACTCTATGCACTATTTGGCCTCTACTATTAATTAATACTATATTTTAAAAAAATTTTCTACATCACCACAGTTAACGTCATTCTTTTTCTTAACGGTAAACAACTGCACTGTGAACTGTATACAGATATACTCACGCATGTGTACAAAGAAGCTTGTTCAGTGCAGCACCATCTATATCAGCAGAAGACCGCAGTGACCTAAAGCTCATTAAATAATTGGCCAAATAAATTATGACTTATCCTTATAGTTGATGTTCCACCTAGTTGTAATGGTACCTTACAACTAACTTTTTATACTGTTTTCTTGTTGTGGTTTCAAAAATCTGATTTATGATTTGTTCCAATTCCTGGGTTTCAAAAATAGCCTCAGATTGAAATTTAAAGTGTTTCCAGTAAGTATTACATTAGAATTCCCATTTGATCTTACTTCGTTTTGATTAATAAAGTTTCAGTTATTTTTATCTGGGTGCATTTTTAAAAGCTTTCATGAACATGTATTCAATTTTCTTTTACTTGCTTTTAAAAATAGTAATGAGGCTTCTTTTTTTTCTTTCTGAATTGGGTGAATTCTGCCACCTTTTTGGTGTTTTCAGTTTAAATATAAATCTCATGTAGGTTAGATTCTACACTATAAAAACCTTTATTTTAAATCTAAGATTGCCTTTAACAATGTCCTGAGTTTAAATTATAGGTCCTGAAATCATAATTGCAAGTGCCTTCCTACCCTTCATTAAGATAAATATAAATAGCCTGGCTGGCGTGGCTCAGTGATTGAGAGTCAACCTATGAAACAGTAGGTCACCAGTTTGATTCCTGGTCAGGGCACATGCCTGGGTTATGGGCTTGATCCCCAGTAGGGGATGTGCAGGAGGCAGCCGATCAATGATTCTCTCTCATCATTGATGTTTCTCTCTCTCTATCCTTCTCCCCCTCTCCCTTCCTCTCCGAAATTAATAAAAATATATTTAAAAAGAAAAAAGATAAACATAAATGAATGCTGTGAGGACAGCAAGTTCTGTCTTCCTTTAGTGGTTCTTGGCCTGTGGGGCTCCTTTGATAGTTATTTTTGCCTGTGGTGAAAGGTGTATTTGGGCTGGCATCTGCCCAGTTCTCATCCTTTTGCTTTGCTTATGACAAAATGTAGAAAATAGTTTCAACTTCTAAATAGAAACAATTAGAAATCCATCCCGTAGGACACAGTGCCATAGTCTTAAAAGAAATATGTCTCACATTTTCTTCTCTCCCAAAGTATGTCTATAACATATAACTGATTTCAATGATTCAACATTCAACAAGTGTTTACTGAGCACATCTTAGTGCAGTGATGGCGAACCTATGACACTCGTGTCAGAGGTGACACGAGAACTCATTTTTTTGGTTGATTTTTCTTTGTTAAATGGCATTTAAATATATAAAATAAATATCAAAAATATAAGTCTTTGTTTTACTATGGTTGCAAATATCAAAAAATTTCTACATGTGACACGGCACCAGAGTTAAGTTAGGGTTTTTCAAAATGCTGACACGCCGAGCTCAAAAGGTTCGCCATCACTGTCTTAGTGGGTGCCCAGTCTCTGTCCAAAGTGCTGGACATACATACAGTGATGAATAAATGTGACCTTGTTCCTGTCCTTATACATTGAAGTTTAACTGAGAAATTTGTCCTACTTTTAAGATCTTCCATGATTACGTCTTCACATGATGCCCAGTTTTATGTGGTCTGGAGTATTACTAAAAGTTTCATAAAATCTCTATTTCCTCTTTTCATATATGTCATACAGAAGACTTTTGTCTATCTTAAATCTGAGCCACTGTTTAATTTGTCATCCTATCCTTTGCTTAATTAAAACAATGTTCTAACTATGACATCACTTTTTCATTTCTGTTCTTTCTCTTCCCTTCCATTACTAAGAAAATTCCCTCTCTTTTTAAGCTTATTTTTTTAAGAAAGAAACATTTTTATGACTTCTTAAGATGACTGTTATATATATATGAGACTAAGTGTAACTCTATAAAGTTGTATCCAAATGTAGATAAAGTTACAGTTATGAACTCTTGGGGTTTATCTCCATTGATTGAAATTAGGAGTGTTAATCCTGAAGACACCAATGGCCTGTAGTATTTCTAACTGTTGGGTTTTCAGCATGAATCGTTGTGATGCCAACATCCATCCCTACACGGGATGACTTTATACACCTCAGAAACTTAAAATCTCAGGTCTAGGGTGAGGAAATATACAAGCACTTTCCTAATCCTACAACTAATAGCTTTTTGCTGATCTGCCTTAAGGATTTCTCATTCCCTAGGCAGTACCATCTTGAAGGGAAGGCCCACAGCAGGACTTTTGGCTGCTACCTCTATCATTAGCTCAACTCTTTCCCTGCCTCAGCCTGTAGAGACAGGCACTGCATGCAGAGTGTAACTGCTACATCATCTCACCTTCCAGTGATCAAATATCCACAATGGTTATGTAAAGAGCATTAGAGCCAAAGAGGTTTGGAAACCTCGAGGGATCCATGGAGAGCTGATTGAGCCTCTGCCATTGTATATCAGGTGCACAGGTAAGCAGCTCCAAGTTTCAACAATTCAGGATACTGCTGGCAGATGCCAGCTTATTATCCTGTCACCCCAAGACAGACGATCAGCCTTTGAATCTCCTGAAGTACACAGGTTTCAAAGTTTAGGGGCTTCAACATGTAAGAGTCCCAGGGATTTTCTAAGGAGAGTTAGAAAGGCCGCTCACTAGTCAGCAGGAGGGAGAATAAATATCTAATCATCCCTGTTTTGACTGTGCTGTTCTCTGGGGGACGCACAAATCTATGATCAACTTCTGTCCTGCCGCTTACAAATAAAGCATGGAAACAGACACCAAGAAAAGGGAAACGATCCTTTAAACAAAAGAATAATATGAACTAAAGATTATTAAGGCAGTTAATACCAGAAACTATACAGGTTGATGATTTAAAAAAAAACACCTGATAATACTCTCAATCTAAAGGGAAAATAAACCAAGAGTAAAGATGGTTAAAAACAGTAAAAAGTCTAAATTAAAGTAAAATAAACAAAATGTAAAAGCTACAAAATAAAACAAAGCATGCTAAGAACTGTTGGGCTGTAACAAAATGAAGAAAACATGATTAAAATAAGAGAATAAAAATATAATAAATAAATAAAACAAGATAAAAAGGACCTGATCCAGGAACTTCATAAAATATGTATAGATATAACTAAGAGGGTGGGAAATAAACAAGGCATGTTTCTGCATAGATAAATAATAAAAAGTAAGGAAACTGAGGCAAGGGATTTCATGGAGACCAGAGTATAGAGCATGATAGAGCAGAAGAAAATCAAAATTAAGAGATAAGAGGAAATCCCATACATTTCTTGTTTGTTTATTTTCTAAGAACCATGATTTTAGCTTTTTCTCCACAAAAATCCCCTTTTGGGATCTGTCAACTTGAAGTCCATGTTCAGAGCTACTAGTCAGTAGTTCAGAGCTCAGCACGTCCCAAGTCCATGTGTGCTGCCCACATGCAGGCCGGTGAGCCCTAAGGCAGGCTCTGTGTCTCCCTTTTCAGGAGATAAAACTGCATGTCATCAGTAAAATGTAGCATCAAGAAAAGCCATTATGTTTATGGTTATAACAGGCTTTAACAAATCCTGTAAGAGTATTTGATTATTGCACTAAGAGAATGTAAACTCAAGCCATAAAAATTCCTTCTTGTGGTATCCTTCTCTTCACCGAGAATGCTTGCAAATTACATTTTAAAGGCTTATTTATACTTTCAAATCACTTTGGGACTATGGCAGTTTAGAGATGCATGAAATTAAATGTGTTCCTCTTACTATCAGAGCACCAGTAATCAGGACCCATAATTTTATCTGCAATATAATGGCCATTCCTGAAGGATCAGTGATAGAAACAGATATAACATTCTATTTTAAGAATGTAACTTTTTTTTTTTTAGTAACCTTTTGGTTTTTAGCTGAATTAATTGTCATGCAGTAATAAAAGATGGTTGCTGAGCTCCATGAGATCTGTTTTTCTCAGAATACAGCTCTGTGTTGTCATGGAGAGTAGCATGCCACCCATTAATGAGAGGAAGTCAAGGTTGTGTTGCAGGATGTGTGCTGCCAGTACATTCATCTACACTATACTTGGGCCTCACGCATCTTTCATCAGTTGCTTAACTGACCTGGCAGATATGAGGCATCCCTGGTTGGGGACGGATGGCAGGTCAGGAACAGCTGGGGTGAGGCAGATGGCAGCCTGCATGTCTCCAGGTCCTGGTTGGCAGCCAGCCTAAAAAGGAAGGACCAAAATAGCTTCATTTTTCAATAAGCAAAAACATTCTGATGCTTCCTTAGAAGGCGAGTGTACCACACTGGGCCTATGTTATAAGAATCCATGTCTGACTAGAAAGATAGGAAGAAGGGATTTATTAGGATGGAACAACATTCATGAGTTTAAGCAGTAGTA